CCCTAAACCCTAAACCGCTTAAGCCCAAGAGCCCTCCGATGCCCCTAAGGGCACTATAAAGACTTTTGGTATACCCACAGGTCCCATAGCTTATAGGATTATGTATGCACCCCAAAAAGGAACTACTTTAGGGCGTATAGGTAACCTTATGACACCCTTAGAACACCCTATGAGACCCTTTACTGATAACATCCGACTTAGATCTTTGCAAAAGCTTGTTTAAGTCTTGCAGAAACCCTAACCCCTAAACCCGTAAACCCCTAATGCCCTAAAACCCCTAAACCCGTAAACCCCTAAAGCCCCAAAACCCCTAAACCCCCAAACCCCCAAACCCCTAAAGCCCTAAACTCCCAAACCCCTAAAGCCCTAAAACCCTAAACCCTACTTTTCCCATGGCCATGAAAGGAAGATCTTTACCTGGAGAAGCAGCGTGTCGGGTCGGGGTCCTGGGCAAAGCTGGGAGGGTGTGGGGCTCTTTAGGGTTTTGGGGTTTGGGGTTGTGGGGTTTTGAGGTTTCGGGTTTTGGGTTTTAGAGTTTAGGGTTTTTGGGTTGTGGGTTTAGGGTTTTGGGTTTCGGGTTTTGGGTTTTAGGGTTTAGGGTTTTTGGGTTGTGGGTTTAGGGCTTAAGGGTTGCTGGTTTTGGGTTTAGGGCTTAAGGGTTGTGGGTTTTGGGTATAGAGCTTAAGGGTTGTGGTTTTGGGGGTTCTTTACTGGCACCTTAATTTCTTCAGGCTGCAGAGGTTGGCATTTTGGCCGAAACTCCTTGCAGTGAGCCGTGGATGCGATCGCCCTAAACGCTACAGCCTGCCCGCAGGCCCCCGTCTAGATCTTCAACCCTGAATCCTAAAACCCGTAAGCCTGACACCGTCATAAAATCTGTTCTGCACACCTACAGCACCCGCACAAAACCTCTGAAAACGACCGTCTAAAGCCTTATACAGCTCTGATAGAGGCCTATCAGAATCAAAAGCCTGATAATGCCCTGAAAGACTCTATCAAACCTTTACAACACTCATAAGCCGTTATAAACCCTTACGACACCCTGGCAAGCACCGCATAAAACCCCTTACAGCACCCGTATTTCCTACGAAGCACAGGTCAGAGTCACCCGCAACCTGCCGAGAGTAAGCCGAACCCTGGCAGCAGCAGACGGCTTGGGTTCTAAAGGGTGAAGCCTGGAACACTGGATACTGAAAGCAGCAGCAGCATCGAGGAGCAGTTGTAGTTGTAGTTGTAGAGCAGTGGTAGTTTGTAGTAGTAGCCGTCGTCGCAGTCGTAGT